GTGGCTGGCGCCCTAGCTGGTTGAGCTATAGGCACCGAGCCGAGAGTAAATATTCTTTAAAAATTTTTCATTTCAAATTATACATACATTAAAAAAGGACGGGGGCAAAGATTTATTTACTTACTTAACGTTTTATATCACATTAGCTCCTTCAACTAAAATGGTTTCCTCTAGTAATTTTCTCTCTTATGAATTTCTTTCTCTTTCAGGGATTCAGAGTCAAAATTTGTAAGAGTATTATTGAGACTGGCACATAAAGCTTTTATGTAAAGTTTATCTGGATCAGTGGTTCTCAACCTTCCTAATGCCATGACCCTTTAATATAGTTCCTGTGGGTCACGACCCATAGATTGAGAACAGCTGATCTAGATTACTTGGGAAAAGGAAAATCCCAGGGAGGAGAGAAAATTATTATTTTATTAAATCATAGTTGTGTACATTAATACTATCATGGGGTACAGTGTGTTGTTTCCATATACAATTTGAAATACTTTCATCCATAGAAGTTAGCTCAGGGTACTTTTAACTCCAGATTTGGGGAACAGAAACTCCATTTACCATAGCCTTCATGTCATTCTCATAGTTGTCGTGTTAAGACATTTATATTCCACATTTAGAAAGATTCACATGTACCCTTATCGGATAAATCATAGGCGTGCTCCCAGCAATCACCCTCCCTCCACCCATCCTCCCCCCTCCCCTCCCCTCCTTCTCCCCTTTCCCCATATTCTTGGGCTAAAATTGGGTTATAGCTTTCCTATGATAGCTAAAAATTAGTTTCATAATAGGGTTGAGTACATTGGATACTTTTTCTTCCATTCTTGAGATACTGTGCTAAGAATAATATTTTCCAGCTCCATCCATGTAAACATGAAGGAGGTAAAATTGCCATCTTTCTTTATGGCTGCATAGTATTCCATGGTGTACGTATACCACAATTTATTGATCCATTCATGGGTCGATGGGCACTTGGGCTTGGAGAGAAAATTATTAATGAAAAGTAATACAAACGTTAAATCCTTAAACTAAAACATCTAGGGGCTCTGCAGATAGTTCTGCTTCTTACTTTCTTTCTTTATGTAATTCATATTTAGAAAAGGGTTTTTCTTATGAAGCAAAGTGAATTTATTAAATAATAATTCAGCTTTCTTCTCTTATTAACAATATACAAATGCCAAATTAGATTGCCTGATAAGCACGAGGTGACAACGTGTTCTAGCAAAGCAGGAGAAAGCCAATGATAATGTCGCCAGGCGAGCAAAGGCATGGTTTCCATCAGATTTTGTGAAATACATAACACAGAGCTCCATTAATGTCTCTCGGGATCCAGAAGCCCAAGTAAAGCACACGTGTAAAGATGTGGCGAGGGTAAGGAATCCCGAGGAAGCAGAATCAGGGGAAGGGAGCACGCTGCCATGGGCATCCTCCCCAAATTATCTGCAAGTTTTCCAGGTTGTTGTTACTTGTGTATTTTGAACCGTTCTCACCTACCAAGTTTCCAGTCCAATGTGGTCTGTTGGTTACAACAAAGGTTTCTATGACATCAATGAGCTCATTTGTGATCAGTAAACAGGAGACTGAATTCAGTGTAACATGGACTTGTTCTGGCTCTGGAATAAGAAATAAAATGTTAAGTTTAAGGAGAACAGAGGAAAAGTTCTCAGTCATTTCGGCTCTATTTTCAGAGGAATAGAGGGAGTGCCTGCACCTGGGGCTTCTTCCCAGCAAGGCATGCCCCCAGCTTTGCATGATGCTGGCCCAGCAGGTTGCACTTCCTCCTGTGCTCAGCGTTTCTCCTCCACCTGCTTTGCTCAACACTCAAAAGCCCATATTCCTCCTTGATTGTTTCTGTGCATTTTTAATGTCCTCTGGGACAGCCTTCACCACGTGATTAGCTGTCTGCCTGGGCTGCCCAGATTATCTCTGGAGGTGCAATTACTATTTCTGTTAGTGCCTTAGTGACACAGAAGAACACGTTTTGAGTTTATCCTTGATCTTATTTTGACTGTAAGTTCTTGTTCTTTTTAGTGAACATTTTTGCAGAATGAATTGTTCTTCAGGAACACGTCTTTTGTGTTACAGTAGAAATCCTGTACTTTGCAGTCAGTAAATGCTTAATAAATGCTGACAGATTATTTATACTTAACTATTCCAAGACTTTAAAAAAGTGATTCCAAGGAATGACTTGAAAATGAACCTAACTGCAAGACTTGAGCAAGGTCTTGAGTACAGACATTTTAATTTGCATGACACAATTATCTCTATTGTTTTAGAGACATAGAAGCTAACTTTCCATTTTCAAGGACTGATGAACAATCATCCATGAGTTCTTGAAGTTGAGTAACAGGAAACTCTACTTGTTTTTCAAACCATTTGGCAATTGTAAGAAGCTGCTGGTCACAAAAGGCACGCCCAATAAACTGCAGTCCTATTGGCAACCCTTGGTTGGAGAGTGCCACGGGGATATTTACTGCTGGTAGCCCTGTGGAGAAGAAAGAAACCCATTAGTTGATTACTTCTCCATCCTAAAAGCAGACACCTCTCCTATTTTCCAGTGCTAGTAAGTAGTGAAGATGGGATAAGGTTTAAAAAAACAACAAAAAATACTATAGAACACACATGCTTTTGTACCATGCTTTGTTCATTTAACAACATATCTTGGAAATCACTGTACCAGTTCACAGAAACCTTCATTCTCTTTTTACAGCTGTATAGTAAGTACTCCATTACACAGTTTTACCACATTCATTAAACCAGTCTCCTATGGTTGGGCATTTAGGTTGTTTTCAGTATTTAGTGATTTCATATAATGTTCCAGCGAATTATGTTGAATGCATGTTTTTTGATAATCTTGAAAGTTTTTTAGATGAAACATTGCTTCACCAAAAGATCAATGTGTGTGTAATTAGATATTAACAAACTCCCCTACAAAGAAGTTGTGCCATTTTGAATTTCCACTGGCAAAATTAATGCTTTATTTTCTTTGTAAAGCCTTGCCAACAGAGTGTGTCTGAGTTTTTGAATTTTTGCCAATCCATTAGATAAGAAGTTAGCTCAGGGTAGTTTTAATTCCAGATTTGGGGCACAGAAAGCACAAATACCCAGAACATACTGTTATGCCATAAAACAAGGAAGTTCTCAAAATTTAATGGGGATATTTTTTTTTTTTTTTTTTTGAGACAGAGCCTCAAGCTGTCCCCCTGGGTAGAGTGCCATGGCATTACAGCTCACAGCAACCTCCAACTCCTGGGCTCAAGCAAGTCTCCGCCTCCCAAGTAGCTGGGACCACAGGCACCCGCCACAACGCCTGGCTATTTTTTGGTTGCAGCCGTCATTGTTGTTTGGCGGGTCCTGGCTGGGGATTCGAACCCACCACCTTAGGTGTACGTGGCTGGCGCCTTAGCTGGTTGAGCTATAGGCGCTGAGCCAATGGGGATAGTTTTAAAGGATACATACAACTTGAAGGGGCAACTACTGGACATATTTGGAACAATCTGAGCATCGAAAATAATGACAATAATTGCTTATAATACATTCAATTTTATAAAAAGGAAAGTTCTTCAGAGAAACTGCTAGTTAATAAATGCAGAAGGAATCATAGAATTAGAGAAGACTGAATTTGCAATTCTTTAAGTGATAATTAGTTCAGGCAAGGATCATCAATGGACGCTAAAATAATTGCGTTCCAGATTATTAGAGTATATGATATGTATACACAGTCTCAAAATATCACCATATAAATTGCTTATAACTGATACAAGGAAAAAACTACCTTTATAAGGAAAACATCTGACAGTTACCTTCTTAAACAGCTGGTCGACTTAGTTTCCAAAGAGTAACAAACTGGATTTAACTGTCTCCTGACGTGAAAAGTATGTAATATTTCCGCCAAAGGTATTTCACTCAGCCCAATTATGAGGAAACAATGTGACCAATCCAGATTATGAATGGGACATCCGATAGGACAAATGTACTGCACTGTTCAAAAAGGCTAACATCATTTAAAAGAAAGTTTTGAGAAGGTGGAGGATTTCTCATTAGAAACTATTCTGGATGGAAGAAAGTAGCACAACATTTTTTAAGCGCTAAAGACAAGAAAACTAGAATCCTATGTCCAGCAAAATGACTTTTCCAAAAGGAAAGGGAAATTAAAATATTCTCAGAAGGAAAGCAAATATGTGGCCTGCAGACCTGTCCTAAAAGAATGGTCAAAGAAATTTCTCCAAACCCCAAAGAAGTGACAAAGGTGGAAGGAAGAAGGAACACAGTAACTAAAAAACAGGTGACAAAAACAGACTTTCCTTTTCCTTGAGTCTTCTATATTATCTTTATTTAATTTTCTACCTTATATGTGATGATTGAGACAAAAATTGTAACATAGCCTAATGTGGTTTTAAGAAAAACTAACAGAGGTGTAGTGGCTATTCCAGATTTTAAAAAGATATCATAAACAGATGCCATATTAGGAGGAAAACAATTTATAAAAGACATTTTTAGCACAGTTGAGAAAATCTGACTATGACTATATTTGAATTATTACTGAATTCATGTTAGTTTTCTTAGGTGTCGTCATAAAATTATGGCTAAGTTGGAGAATTTACTCTCAGAAGATTTGTGCTAAAGTATTTAGATGTTATAACGGCTGAAGGTTTCTGTCAATGATTCAGCTAAAAACAACGTGTTTGTGTGTGTACTGAAAGAGAGAGACAAAGAGAAGGGAACAAAGCAGGAACGTGAAGCACCTGAGGCATCTTCACGCTACTTTTTTTGTTTTTCTGTAGATTTGAAAGTTTTCAAAATAAAAGTTAAAAAATCCTATTAAGAGTATTAGTTCAGATCCACGTGTGTGAGGTGTGTGTGGTGAGAGTACACACACAGGCACATACATTCCTACCTAAACATTCCAGAGAGACAAGACTCTTGCTCTTAAGGAACAGTCTCTAGAACTTAAGTTGAAGACCGAGATACCTGCCGAAGAACTCGAACAGAACCAAAATGTGGTTGAGGCATCCCTACCTGCCATATTTACAGCCTGTGTAAAAATATCGTCCTGGGCACTTCGTGTTCTGTTGTCTTCTTTGATGAACTCCAGGTATGGCACTGCCGCACTCAAGGTGGTAGGCGTGAGCAGGACATCTACTCCAGAATTGAAAACATTCACAAAATCGTTAGCAATGAGGCGTCGCACTTTCTGGGCTTTGATGAAATAGTTCTCATAGTTTCTATGGGGAAAAAACAGATGATATTTGAATCAATTCTCTTGCATTAGGCTTTATGCAGAGCCACTGAATTCTTGAGCAGGCATGACTAAGACCTCAACATATAAAAATGAATTCTGTCCAACTGTGCTGTTATTCTACTTTGTATATCTAGAATTCACTATTAGATGCAATTCTACACATATAATCACAAAATATTTAATGACTCCGGGGACATCACTAACCTGGAACATTCATTTTCAGGTGCAGAAAATAAAGTATGTAGCAATTGAACAACTTTCGAAAAGTTGCAAAACTAGACAGTGGTACACGAGGTCAAATTTCTTATTATAATCCTTTACTTCATCTCGAACATAATGAAAACGAATCATTATAAGGACTTTTGAGGTTTTGCAAAATTCTAATATGGCATCTACCTTAGACACTAGGAAATAATCCTAGAAAATAGGTTCTGAAAACGGAAACTGGGGAAAGTTATAGCGCTTGAATTTTGTATTTCAGGGATAGGCATAGCCCCTGAATGGAAATGTGAAACTTTGAAAGAATATTTACTTTACTAAAAAGATAAAGGAAAAAGCCCAAAGGAATAGTGACCATAAGTCAATGATACCAAAAAAGGGAAAAAGAAAAAGGTTAAGAAAGATTAGATAAAAGAACTGTTCTTAGCCTCAGTTTCCTCAACTGTAAAAATGGATACAACAACTCCAGTTCGGCTCGGCACCTGTGGCTCAAGCGGCTAAGGCGCCAGCCACATATACCTGTGCTGGCGGGTTCGAATCCAGCCCGGGCCCGCCAAGCAACAATGATAGCTGCAACCAAAAAATAGCTGGGGGCATTGTGGTCGGCGCCTGTGGTCCCAGCTACTTGGGAGACTGAGGCAGGAGACTCGCTTGACCCCAGGAGTTGGAGGTTGCTGTGAGCTGTGATACCACAGCACTCTACCCAGGGGGACAGCTTGAGGCTCTGTCTCAAAAAAAAACCAACTCCAGTTCTGCTAAGGTCCAAATAAATTAAGATAAAAATGTGAAATCCTTTTTACTCTAAAAGAGTCCTATAGAAATATCAGGTGTCTTTACTATCATTTGATTGCAGGGTCTATAGAGAGATCAATGCAAGCATCACATATGATTTATACAAAAACAACAGTTGATGGCTTAAATACTACATTAATAGCATTCTCAAAACTTGAATTTTTTTTTTTTTAGACAAGAGTCTCACATTGTCGTCCTTAGTAGAGTGATGTGACATCACAGCTCACAGCAACCTCCAACTCTTGGGCTTAAGTGATTCTCTTGCCTCAGCCTCCCAAGTAGCTGCGACTACAGGTGCCTGCCACAACACTCAGCTATTTTTTGTTGCAGATGTCATTGTTGTTTAGCTGGCTCAGGATGGTTTCGAACCCATTAGCCTTGGTGTATGTGGCTGTTGCTGTAACCATTGTGTTACAGGTGCTGAGCCAATTTTTTGAATATTTTTGATTCATGGTTGAATCAAAACTCTACAAATGCTGAATCTATGGATCCTGAGGGCTGACTGTAGTTTGTACTAATCATTTAACTAGAGTGTCAATATTTTTTTGGTTTTGAATACTAGGAACCAAAAGTGCCACAAACAGGCTTTTTCTAATTCAAATGATAAAGATTTTGTTTCTTTAGGAACAAGCTTGACTTATAAGACCTGACAAACATGCTCTGACTTTACTCTCGAGGTTTCAAGAATGGAGGAAATTCCTAAAGTAACTGACTTGCTCTTTTTTTTTTTTAATTAATATTTTATTTATTTATTTATTTTGGCAGTTTTTGGCTGGGTCCGGGTTTGAACCTGCCACCTCCAGTATATGGGGCCAGCGCACTACTCCTCTGAGCCACAGGTGCCGCCCGACTTACTCTTTTAATAAGAAAAAGTTTCCTGAGAGGATTCTTCCTCTCACCACCTCATTGAACCCTTCTCGTCTGGTCGCAGCATACATGGCTTCGGTGGACACATCAATATCACATCTGTGCCCTAGAAACAGAGATTAAATATTACTTGAAAGGAAGCAAAGTTTTGCCTAAAACTGGGCCTCAATTCACATCTTTGTGACTGATACGAAAATTTAAGGAGCGTCCTCCACTGGTTTCTTTTCTCTGCCTGCCTCGTGACTGACTGACAGGTGATGAAGAGAGAAGAAAATAACCAAGACAGAAAATGTGTTTACTCCCTCATTCATTCAAACACTGACTGGACTCTTTCTCTCCCTGTGCTAGGCACACTGGGCTGAGCCGAGCATACCAAGGCAAGATAGCATCCTTTCAAGACAGTCACAGTCCAGAGAAGCCAACTACACACAGAAATACTATAACGAATGGCACAGTACAATTCTAAAATGTCAAAGAACGATTCACTGATTTCCTTCTCTGAATCATTAACACTGTTGCAGGCAGTAATTGTCACTACTATGTGAAACTTTCAAATGTTTGAGATGCTACTTTAAAAATCCAGAAACCCTGCCATCTTACCATATTGTAGACCATCAAATCTTGCCATATTCGATGCCACTTCTGATGTGCACAACACATGGTAGCAGACAATTGAGTAACTGATGTGGGGAAGGGATACCTCAACTACTTTGGCTCCCTCAGACTCAAAGAGGTCAGCAGCTTTGGACCAAAGAGATCGTACTTCACTTGATAATTCTGGTACAAGATACTCCTTATAGAAAAAAGTCAAGATACAGAAATTAGGACATCTGTATAGAGGGTCTTATAAAAATTTGTACTCCAGGACCTTAGGTAATACATTAGAAAATATTATAAAATTGCTGGTAGGTAGTTAGAAACATAGAATCCATTTAGGAGAGTTTATGGCATAACAAACATAGTCCTAGATATTATGACCTGGATCTAATAATGTAAAAGATCAGAGATCTAATTGGGGAACATACTTGTTAAATGTTCATTATAACTCAGGTACTCTGCTAGATGTTTTTCAAAGGTTCTCTCATTTAATGCTTTTAACAAGTCCATAATGTCAGTATCATCATCCTTCATTCTATTAACAAAAAATACTGAGATGAGAAGTTAAGTAATTTTCCTAACGTTGCATAGAGGTGAGCAGAGAATCTTAGATTCCAAAGTAGGTCTTTTTTAAAACTTGTCCTCTCTCTAAATTCTCAAAAGAAGGTACAGATAATCACTTTAATGAAATATTTTAAAGAAAGTAGTATTTCTCCACTGCAGTGGTCTCACCTGGGGGCGATTTGTCACATTTTCCCCAACCCAGGGACATATGGCAACATCTGTAGACATTTTTGGTTGTGGGTTTGTGGTATTGGTGGGAGCATCACTGGCATCAGGGGTAGAGACCAGCAAGGCTACTAAACATCTTACAATGCACAGAACAGTCTTCGACAACAAACAATTATACAGCCCAAAAGTCCAACAGCACTGAGGTTGAGAAAACTCATTATTCTGTAATTTATCTTTCTAAAAGATTTCTAAAAGGTTTAAAGCATTACTATATCGCTAAGTTTAATATTTTTATAAGGTAATTAAACACAATTACATGTATGAATTATTCAATTGCTACAGTAATAGCGTTATAGTAGTGATGATATTATAATGATAAAGATTGTAACATTTCTTGAGGTCTTACTATGCAAGGTATGGATTTGGGCTAAGTCCTTTATATAAAGGATGGGCAAACTATGGCCCATGGGCCAGAGCTGACCATCCAGCTTTCTTTGGAAATAAAGTTTTATTAGAACACAGGTACATTTTTATTTATTTATTTTTTTTGTAGAGACAGAGTCTCACTTTATCGCCCTCAGTAGAGTGTTGTGGTGCCACACAGCTCACAGCAACCTCCAACTCCTGGGCTTAGGCGACTCTGTTGCCTCAGCCTGCCAAGTAGCTGAGCCTGCCACAACGCCCAGTTACTTTTTTGTTGCAGTTTGGCCGGGGCCAGGTTTGAACCCGCCACCCTCGGTATATGGGGCTGGCACCCTACTCACTGAGCCACAAGTGCCGCCCATAGAACACAGATACATTTTTAATTTACATATTGTCTATGGCTATTTTCTCACTATAATGGCAGAGATAAATAGTTACAATAAAGACTGTATGGTCCACACAATCTGAAATATTTGGCCCTTTAGAGAAAAAGTTTATAAATACCTGTTTAACATGATTACCCAATTTTTTTTTTTTTTGAGACAGAGTCTTACTTTCTCACCCTAGGTAGAGTGCTGTGGCATCATAGTTCAAGGCAACCTCAAACTCTTGGGCTCCCCAGTAGCTGGGACTACAGGCTTCTGCCACAATGCCCAGTTTTTTTTTTTTTTTTTGCAGTTTTTAGCCAGGGCCGGGCGTTAACCTGCCACCTTTGGTAAATGGGGCCAGCGCCCTACTCCTTGAGCCATAGGCGCTGCCCAGTGCCCAGCTATTTTTTAGAGACAGGGTCTCTTGCTCTTGCTCAGGCTGGTTTTGAACCCATGAGCTCAGGCAATTTACCTGCCTTGAACTCCCAGAGTGCTAGGATTACAGGTATGAGCCACCATGCCTGGCCCTATGACTATCAAATTTAATCCTCATAAATCACTAAGGTCAATACTTTATTATCCCCATTTTGCAGATAGGGTAATTGTGCTTTAAAGAGATAAGTGACATGCTCAAGTCACATGGCTAATAAAAGTGGCAGAGCAGGGATTCAAACCCTATCAGTCTGCTTCCCAAGTCTGTGCTCTCTATTGACTTGACAGTATTTCTGTAAAGTAATGAAAGGAAGAATTTACCTTTGGAATTCCTATACATAGTTTGCTGACATCTGTTAAACTGGGGAGTGTGAATGGCTTAACAGGATCCTGTACTGTGGTAGAATCTTTGGGGTCATGCCCAGCCAGCATACCTGTAAGGAAAATACTTATGAGCGACAGACCCTGTCTTACAGTGAAACTGTTTCAAGTGGTATGGAATCAAAAAAATACCCAACACAACTGCAGCATCATCCACGTATCGGGTTAGGATTCCTGGCGCATCCATCGAATTCACCAGGGGAATGAGACCATGACGAGAAACTAAGCCATAGCTTGGCTTGACACCCACAAGCCCACAGAGGGCAGCAGGATTTCTGGTTGATCCTCCTGTATCTGATCCTAAAGCCCTGGAAATCAAACAGAATTAGCTGTAAAAGGACGGCATACCTACAGTTAGATTTCTAATTACATCTGAAATCTACACTTTTCAATGTATACTTTCTTTCTTTCTTTTTTTTTAGAGATAGAGTTTTACCTTGTTGCCCTTGGTAGAGTGCTGTGGCATCACAGCTCACAGCAGCCTCTAGCTCTTGGGTTTAGGCAATTCTCTTGCCTCAGCCTCCCGAGTAGCTGGGACTATAGGCGCCCGCTACATTGCCCGCTATTTTTGTTGTTGTTGTTGTTGCAGTTTGGCTGGGGCTGGGTTGGAAACTGCCACCCTTGGTAAATGGGGGAGCACCCTACTAACTACACCACAGGTGACACCCCTCTTTTTTTTTGAGCCAACAATAAGAAAAATAGCCAGGCGTTGTGGCAGGCGCCTGTAGTCCCAGCTACTTGGGAGGCTGAGGCAAGAGAATCTCTTAAGCCTAAGAGTTTGAGGTTGCTATGAGCTGTGATGCCAGGGCATTCTACCCAGAGTGACATAGTGAGACTCTGTCTCAAAAAATAAAATAAAATAAAATAAATAACTTTGTAATGAAACGCTTTGAACATAATATGTTGTTTCCAACTATAATAACTATAAATAAATAACTTTGTAATGAAAACCTTCAAACATAAATCTTTGTCTATACATCTGATTACTTTTTAGGCTACCTTCCAAGAAGAAGAGTTAATGGGCATAAGGGTCTGCCTATTATTTTAAGTTCTTGATATATATTGTCAAGTTACTTGTCAGAAAGATTATGCCAATTTATATTTATTTCTTTTGAGAAATAAATTATTATATTATTATATTTCTTTTGAGATAGAGTCGCCCTGGCATCATAGCTCATAGCAACTTGAAACTCTTGGGCTTGAGCAATACTCCTGCTTTAGCCTCCTGAGCAGCTGGGACTATAGGTGCCTGTTACCCAGATAGTTTTTCGATTTTCAGTACTGACGGGGTCCTGGTTCTTGCTCAGGCTGGTCTCAAACTCCTGAGGTCAAGCAATCCACCTGCCTTGGCCATCCAGAGTGCTAGAATTACAGGCCTGAGCTACCATGCCCAGCCCTCCACATTATATTTCTAATTGCAGTAAATCAGATTTGTTTTAATCTTTCACATCATCACTCAGTACTAGTTTTTAAAAATTCATGTTAATTTGATGACCAAAAAGTTTAGTTTATGTGCATTTTTAATAATTTTTCACATCTAGTTGTATTTGCATTACCCAACTATAAAGTGATTGTTTTTTTTCTTTTTTTTTAGCCGGGGCTGGGTTTGAACCCGCCACCTCTGGTATAGAAGGCCGGCACCCTACCCTTTTGAGCCACAGGCACTGCCCATTTGTTCGTTTCTTTACCCAGTTACCTACAGAGTTTGTGATATTCTTATTTTAAAAAGCCAGAAAAACAGAAAGTTAACCGAGAGGACATTATGCTAAGTAAAATAAGCCAGTCACAAAAGGACAAATACTATATAATGCCACTCACATGTGGGACCGGAATAATTAAATTCAAAGAGACAGAAAGGAGAAGCGTGGTTTCCAAGGGCAAGAGAAGGGTTAATGGGTATAGAGTTTCAGTTTTGCAAAATGAAAAGATTTTTGGAGCACAACAATGTACTTAATGCTTCTGAATTATATACTTAAAATAGTTAAGATGGTGAATTTTATATTTTGTGTATTTTACCACAACAACTAGAATAGATTAGGAGCTCCAAAAACTTAATGGGAAAAAGTAATCTGATTAAAAAATGAGCAAAATATCTGCATAGATATTTTTCAAAAGAAGACACACAAATGGCCAACAAGTATATGAAAAAATGCTCCCCATCATAAGAGAAATGCAAATCAAAACTACAATGAGATATCATCTCACCCAGGTTAAAACGGCTTCGGCCAAAAAGATAATCAATGATGAAGAAAGCAGTTTTGGGAATATAAATTAGTTTAACTACTATGAAGAACAGTATGGAGGTTCTTCAAAAATCTAAAAATAGGCCAGGCATGGTGGCTCGCACCTGTAATTCTAGCACTCTGGGAGGCTGAAGTGGGTGGATTGCTTGAGCTTCCAAGTTCGAGACCACCCTGAGCTGGTTTCTATTAAAACAGAAAAACTGAGGCAAGAGGATCGCTTGAGCCCAAGAGTTGGAGGTTGCCTTAAGCTACGACGCCATAGCACTCTACCCAGGGCAAAAGCTTAAGACTGTCTCAAAAAAAAAAAAAAAAAATCTAAAAATAGAACTACCATATGACCCTGCAATCCCATTGCTAGGTATATATCCAAAAGAAAGGAAATCACTATGCCAAAAAACATCTGCACTCCATGTTTACTGCAGTAAGATTCATAACAGCCAAGATTTGGAATTAACCTAAGTGTCCACCAGTAGATAAATGAATAAAAAAAAATTAGGGAATGTATAAACAATGGAATATCGTGTAGCCATAAAGAAGGTTGAAATCCAGGCATTTGCAACAACATGAATGGAAACGGAGAACATTATGCTAAGTCCAATAAGCCAAGCATAGAAAGACAAATCTCACATGTTCTTGCTTATATGAAGGAGCTAAATATTAAAACAACTGATCTCATATATAGAGTAGAATGATGGTTACCCGAGACTTGGAAGGGTAGTGGGGAAGAAGGGATACAGTGGGGGTGGTTAACGGGTGCAAACATCTAGTTAGATAGAATGAACAATATTTCGTAGCCTCACAAAGTGACTATAGTCAACAACAAGGTATGGTACACTTGAAAACAACCAAAAGAATGGAATTGGAATGTTCCTAACACAAAGAAATGATAAATGTCTGAGGTGACCAAAACCACAATTTCCCTGATTTGATTAATACACATTGCATGCCTCTATCAAAATATCACAGGTACCAATATACAAATATTATATACTCTTATTTAAAGAAAAATATTTCAGGGAAAACATAGTTTCATTGTAGAACAGCGTTACACAGCCACTGTAAAAATTAAAATATTATATAAGGGTATCAAGTCAGAGTTCTCTTATAATCACAGTCCCCATAATAGCCTTGCTATGAGTTTTTGTATCTATCCAGACTTCCAGACATATCTACACAATAACATGTACATGCACCTAATTATTATTTTTAACAGAAATAAGTCATACGATCCACACTGTTCTGCAAGTTATTTTGCGGTTGTTGTTAACTGAAAAGACGTCTTGGATATCTTTTCCATGTCACTGCACAGTGCTCTATCTCATCCTTTTTCATGGCTGCCCAGTACTCTAAGAATGTTCCCGTTTTTTAAACCAATATAAAAGAAACAAACCAAAAAGGGGGCAACAAAAGCAGCATACTTTATAGTTGGGATATATTCAAGCTCAGGTTACTTTAGGTCTCTGCTTCTATCGATTACGTTTGAGGTGAAGCTCTGGACTGAACAACACTTCTAACAACTCGGCACTTGTGACCTACAGAAAAATGCAAATAAGGTTTCCTTTCTCGCCCTGCCCATTTAAGCTACAAAATCAGACCACTGCTTGCTGCTGGCTTTCACAGCTTTAAAGGATACATTTTGCTTATTAGCATTCACTGGCTGCTGTGTAAAAGTAAAAACCTTACATTTCCACAGGAATTATGTGTCAAAGTGCCATCTTCTCAAAGCATGTTCAGAAAGATGAACGCTAAGTGGGATGAGGGTAGAAAAGAGGCATCCAACCCTATGGTCCTAACTTGTCAGAACGCCCATTAATATTAATGCAACGCCATACGATTCCGCAGAGATACAGTGAAGTGGTTTTACTTGCTAATAAGACTTCAGGAAAACTGAAAAATAAAATCTGTAGAACTTAAATCTCCATAGTGCTAAAAACTAAAAATAACTTACTGGTTGTTGTAATGAATGTGCATGTGAAAGAGCTTAGTTTTAGTGGATAATTAAGGAGAGATAAAATACATACAGTATTACTAAAGCGACACATTCAATTTAGTTAAATTGAGACTGACATAATATAACAGTAGTCATATTTACTTCCTCTTCTGTAGGTGGTTAAGAAATGCTTTATAGATGGTTATAAAGCAGTAACATATGATCAATAGATTCTTACCAAATACAAAGTATGAGAGATGTATAGAACCAGTTCCTAACAAGGAAAAAAGTTTTACTGATTGACATATATTTTTAGTTGCAGATTTGTGAAAACACTATTTTAACTATCTTATTGATATTGATATATATACATATATAATATTGATATTTATATTGAACATTCTTTTCTTTTCTTTTTCCCCCTCCCCCACAAAAGTCACATTTAGCTAAAGGATAACACCACTGACAGTGTAGTCCAGCAGCACTCAACTAGAGCCATGATATGTTAGTCCCTAAATATTTTATAACTAGAGAGCCAACACTCAATAAATTATCTTAAAAAATGAAATTTGGTGAAGTCCGTCTATGTCAATGCTTTATTCTGCAAGATCCATAAAACTATGTTTTTAAGAGAACCAGATACTATAAAAGAAAAGTTTAAATATTATTTTAAAGTTAAATGTGTAAAATATATGTAGCAAACTATACAGGTGAAGTGTATTTATAAGACACAGTTTTGATATACATTTGAACACAAATAGATCACTAAAAAGAAATGAAAATCCCAAGGTATGCGCTACTCCATGGTTGGATTTTGCATACAGCTTATGACTATGTGTATTCGGATAAGGTTTAAAGAGAAGCATCTTACGCAAAGCACGTGAACGCTGACACGGCAGCGGCGCTCCCACCGGAGCTTCCTCCAGTGATCACCCAATTTGAATCTTCATTCTCGCCATGTGGCTTCTGCCTCCTCCTTTCTCTATATTGTTTTGAATAACTCCAGGGGTTTTTAACTGGTCCAAATACACTGTCTGTGCTTCCAGAACTGAGATGAGAGGAAGAGTAGAGAGACGCCTTAGTAAAACCTTCATTTCATTTTCTGAGTATTTGCTTCTGACACTCATTGAGCTTTTGATAATCCACTGAAGCATACATTGGAAAAGAAGTAGTTTTCATTAATTAAATGGTTGAGGAGGAAGGGAAGGAAGAACAGTTGTGGCAGGAAGTAGACAGAACTGGTCTGCTAAGAAGAGATTCCACTGAAGATGATGCCCCTCGTGGAAAATAGGCAAAAAATCTGAATAGATAATTCACTGAAGAAGATATATGGATGGCGAAATAAACACATGGAAAGGTGTTTAACATCACTTGTCACGAGGGAAATGCACACTAAAACCAAACTGAGATACACACATATGTCTATCAAACCACATAATCACACAGGGACTAAGAAGCTGGCATTGGAATCCTCAAGAAATCACCTCCCTACTTTTAGGTACCTACATTTAGTGAAACTAAAGGTATAGATCAGTGATTTTTAACCAGTGTGCCACCCCAAATTTTAGGCATCATTAGTTAAATTATTTTCAAAGCAGAGTAAGTGTATCCCTTTTTCTATTCTTTTTTGATCAAGTTCAACTGTAGGTTCAAGTGTGCTGTGAGATAAGAAAGGTGAAAAACACTGGTATAGATGGAATAAAAGAGAATAAAATTTTAATTTTACTTACCCCATAGCAAACTCATCTAAATTTGTTTTCCCCATGAGCAGAGCTCCCTGATCCAACAACTTCTGGACAACTGTAGCATTATAAGGTGGTACATAACCTGAGAAAAATTCAATCATTTTTATGATAGGAGATAAAACAGTGAACATGTAAAAATTATATTCAGGAAATAAAATTTCAAACTGCAGGGCAGCGCCTGTGGTTCAGTAAGTAGGGCACTGGCCCCATATACCGAGGGTGGAGGGTTTGAACCCGGTCCTGGCCAAACTGCTACAACAACAAAAAATAGCCGGGCATTGTGGCAGGTGCCTGTAGTCCCAGCTACTCAGGAGGCTAAGGCAAGAGAATCACCGAAGCCCAGGAGTTGGAGGTTGCTGTGAGCTGTGATACCACAGCACCCTACCAGGGGCAAGCAAACGAGACTCTGCCTCTAAAAAAAATAATAATAAAATAAAAAATAAAGATTTTAAACTGTAATTAAGGGATTCATACGGACATACTGACATGTTTTAATTATTCCTAATTTAAATAGTACGTTGTACTTTATTCCAGGAGTCGATGTTTTCTACTATTAACTATATATATTTTCCAAAGATAGTCTGTGCATTTGGTATTTTTGTAATCTGAAAACATTGACTTCAACAGTTATTTCTACAAAATGCCACACAATAGTCAGAGATGTACCCAATTCATTCGAAACTAATTGTGAATTGTTATTTGCTCATTGTAGTTGACTTTTTCCTCTCTGATGATGTCATACCTCACAGTAATTTTTATGTATTTCTGGTTAGAAATAGATCTTTATCCTCAATTAAAATTTCCTCTAGCTATTAAAAAGCTCCAGCGTATATTCTAAAACAATTAACAACATTCACCTATTAGAGGAATGGGGTGCAGAGTCCTCATGTAATATTACTTTTATCATGCAGCGCTCTGAATAACCTTTTCTCCATTTCTTTATTTCTCCTAGGATCCTAACAAGCTTCTTTTTGACTTTCTGAACTCTAAGAAAATAAAACTAAGTATCATTATACTGTAGTATAGGAGATGGAGGAATCAGGAAATAAATACAACTGGTTAGTAGTATCCACAAGAGAGGGGTAATGACGGCCGGTTCATACTTATTCCTGCCTATTTTTTTTTTTTTGAGACAGAGCCTCAAGCTGTCCCCCTGGGTAGAGTGCCGTGGCATTACAGCTCACAGCAACCTCCAACTCCTGGGCTCAAGCGAGTCTCCTGCCTCCGCCTCCCAAGTAGCTGGGACCACAGGCGCCTGCCACAACGCCCGGCTATTTTTTGGTTGCAGCCGTCATTGTTGTTTGGCGGGTCCGGGCTGGGGATTCGAACCCGCCACCTTAGGTGTACGTGGCTGGCGCCTTAGCCGGTTGAGCTATAGGCGCCGAGCCCTTATTCCTGCTTATTAATGATTTGGAGTTAGATATCAGTGTGTTTGCCGTGGTCAGTTACTAAGTCTCCCTAAAATATAGGACTTCTAAAACTTCTGAAATAGCGTTCATTCATTAAGCTGGCCTAGCCCTGTAAAGAATAATTCTGCGTTCTTAAAGAATAAACAGTAAAAACAGATAATACTACGTATAGTCTATACTAAGTACTCCTTTCAAAGATATAATTAGTCTGAGATTGTCTTGGGACTTTGGTATCTTTAAAACTAAAAAATACTTTTACAAAATTATTAATACTTTGGTCAACTTTACCTTTCAGCATATTTGATGCACATGTTGTCTCAATGCCAGATGTGCTAAAGTTGTCTTTGATTGCAATAGGAATTCCATCTAAAACCCCAAGTGACTGACCTGCATTAAAAAACCAAAAGAGTAATATTGGACATAACAGTTCAAAATATCAATATAAGGATATATTGATACCTGTTACTACAGTAACTACTAGTTTTTGGCAAAGATACTTCTTCAGAAATCAAATTTGTTACTAGTAGAAGTTAATACCGTTGGACATTATACAGCATCACATATCCTTAACATCATTTTTATTATACCTTGCAGCAAGTTCTTTAAATAAGGGTATGTTTTATGTTTAAAGTTTCACTTGCCAAATGGAGGCTGCTACATCCAATTAGACTCCCTCTCTAGAGATATAATGATTAAGTGTAATTAAAAGTAATTTACCATTCTTGTATCTTTTTTCTGATTCTTCAGCTTGTTTTAAGGCTACCTCTTCTGTTACAGTAATGTAGGCATTTAGGTACTTAGTCTTCTTGATGAGAGAGAGACATTTTTGACAGAGCTCCGTTGGTGTAATTTGGCCTTGTTTCAGTGCCGCAGAAACCTACAGCATATAAAATTCAAAAACCTTTCACTGAGTCTGCAGAAGTTTCAAATATTATACTGAAAGGAATGATAGAGAGGCTAAGTGTTAACATAAAATTTATATAGTGTCATATAAAAATATGAAGTGAGGCTTGGGTTCAAAACCTAGAGAACCAATCATCTCTAACTCAGTGTAGTGAACAAAGGTAGCACACGGATCAGCTTGAGAACAGGTGGAGGAAATGACATCTTTCTCCCGGGCTAGTTTTCTGCTTCAAAGTCAGAAGTTGAGAGTTCAGGGGAGGTCAGGCTGACGGGTGGGTGAGGATGTACAGAGCATAGCTTAGCTGCAGCGCAGGCAGTCCAGAGAGAAAACAGAGGAATGAACCCAAGGAGGCTCTGTCGGACTTTATAGCTCTAAATAAGTATTGTGGACTTCAAGTACGTGCTGGTATGAACTGAGAAAAATGCTTATAAAACATACATTCAAGAGCAAACTAAAAAAACAAACCTTTCTGAAATTCTGTCTCTGATGCATTAGGAAGGCCAGTAAAGAAAGTGTTAAAATAATCTGTTCTACAAGTGACCAGAACACGTATATTGACAGGAAGCAGGGCCTTGAGATGAAGTGATGATTGTTAATGTTTCCTTTAGGAAGTAATAATATTAGTACTCCCTAATCAGCTAAGAGGAATGAATAACAAGAAGTCACAGATGATACCCAAACTTTGAAGATTACTTGAAAAGAGAGTTGGATAAGATGGGAGCTGAGAGATAAGGGGCTAGAGGAAGACCTAATAGTTACTGAGTATTTAACAAGAGCCAGGCACGGCCGCTTCACATCATTTAACCCTATGTCTTCATTTAACTCCTAAAACAACCATACAACTTAAGAATTATTAACTGCATTTGAGAAATGAAGAAACTGAAGGTCAGAGAGGTTGAAGGATTTGTCCAATGTCACACAAACGGTAAAGGACAAGGTGACTTCATAAGACATGCTCCTGACCATTTCTCTGAGGCTGTGGGAGGGCTCCTGGGACGAGAGGGCAGTGAGGCTTGACTTAAACTGAGGAGGTAACTTAGTGACAAGAAGAGATACTTCTGTTGAATAGTTTGTATGAAATAGAAACTCTTTAGAAAAAGCTAGAAAGAAATGGAAGCAGGATGGTCTAATACTGTGTGTATGGAGTGGGAAGAAAGAAGACAGTGTAGGCTGTCAGAAGGAGTCAGACCTAGCAAAGCCCAGAGCTAGAGAGATGGAGAGATAGAAAGGCAGGCCCATTCCACGGCAAGCTACCAATCAGGAAATGGTGTCTGCTGCCTTCTCTCCTACCCGACTCCCCCAAGTCGCCCAATGCCTACGCTCCTCACCTCCTCACACTGCTTTCTGACTTGCCAACTGCTGTCCGAGCTGCGGAGACACAAATGTGGTCAGATAGGCAAAAACTGAGGTAGCAGGAGCACTCATTTCAGATGGTGCTGATCCTCATAGGACCATTTCAAGGAACTCCAGGTCAGAGAAAATCAGTAAGGGAATTGAAAACAGAGATGCTAATTAGCTAGTATGGAGGGACCAAAGGGAGTTGGAAACATGAACTACAGCTCCCCAGGGACAAAACTGCAGGTGTCATCTCTGAATATAAAAGAAAGTCAACTGAAAAAAAGTTCTCTCTCCATGGCAAGTCTTTCCTCTAATGGAAACTAGACCTTCCCTAGCAGTCACTTCTGCTTAGGGCCTACCGACCGTGTATCACGGAGTCCATCTGTTTGGGGGGGATAGACAGACAGGTAGTGTTCTCCTTGTTCCTCAGGCCTTTCTCTTCCCTCAAGTACCAGGGCTGGGTGACGCCTGTGGCTCAGTGAGTAGTGTGCTGATCCTATATACCGAGGGTGGTGAGGTCAAACCCAGCCTCAGCCAAACTGTAACAAAAAAATAGCTGCGTGTTGTGGTGGGTACCTGTAGTCCCAGCTACTCGGGAGGCTGAGGCAAGAGAATCACCTAAGCTCAGGAGTTGGAGGTTGCTGTGAGCTGTGACACCATAGTACTCTACCAAAGGCAATAAAGTGAGACTCTGTCTCTAAAGAAAGAGAAAAAAGGATCAGGGCTCATCTGGAGCACACGCCCCGGAGGGAGTATCCCCTGCTGGTGTGCTGCTTTACAGTCTCTCAGGTTCTACTTCTCAGTCACTGGCGGTTTCAGCACCTAGCTCACCACCATCTTTGTTGTCACTCTTGCTCACCCAAACTTCAAGTCTGTGTACACCGACATTTGCCCTCTCGGTTCCTTGCCCTCACTTCACACAGTTTTCCTTCACCTCACCTAGTTGCAAACTGTCTGGGTCACAACCCAGAGTACATCACAGAATCTCTTAAACATCACTTCAATCATTCCACATCTCCTGCCTCTCAGCTCACTGACATTACTACCCCCACAGCCAGTAAGAAATTGGGGCCCTCGGCCCACGATGGCAGGAAATGGAATCTGCCAACAACTAGTGAGGCTGGAAGACGCCTGGAGCTGCAGACGAAGTCTCGGCGCAGGCTGACACCTCACTCTCAGCCTTGTGCAGCCCTGAGCAGAAAACCCAGCGACTCCATGGCCAGACTTCTGCCCCATGAAACTGTGAGATAATAAGACTACGCTACTGTAAGCACAAAGTTTGTACTAATTTGTTACATAGCAATAGAAAAACTAATATACCTTAGAAAAATTAAGAAAACTTCCTCAGGAACTGCTGCCTCTCAGAAAGCAGGGGAAGGAAAATTATAAACACATGTAATTTATTTATTAGTAATTTAGTCCCTTCGGCAAAACTGTTAATAGCTTAGTTCTAGGCATTGTCCTGGATGCTTTATCTTTCATTTAATCTTTGTATCCACACTGAACGGCGGATATTATCTCCGCTTTACAGATAAAATACTGAAGTTCCTGCCTGAGGTCACAGAGCTACAAAGCAGCAGAGCTGGGATTCATCCAAGGACTGACGGGGTTTCCAAAACCCACGCTCTGAACCATCTACTACAGGGCGAGTAGCCTTATCCAAAATTTGTGGGACTGGAAGTGTTTCAGATTTTGGAATGCTGTATTTGCATTCTATGCTTCCGGACTGAGCATCCCTAATTAAAAAATCCAAAATCTGAACTGCTCCAAAGACCATTTCCTTTGAGCATGATCTTGGAATGTCATGGCATTCAAAAAGTTTTAGATTTTGGACCATTTCAGATTTTTGATTTGGGATGCTCAACCTGTTTAATTATTCTCCATAATAATACAGAAGTATTTTATACGCAAGGTATTAGGGTATTTACTCCTCTGTAAAAAAGTAGAGAACATTTTTATAAACTTGACAGATAACACAGGAATTCACTTAGGAAAAAAGCTATCTTGGAACAAATGGCCTTGAAAAATGCTGAAAGTGTAGGAGAGCTCTTGAGGGCTGAGTGCCCCGCTGGTTTTAGCACCAAGCTAACACACTCCATTTGTGCTTTTATCTTCATGTTCCAAGGAACCGCATGTCCAGATCCCCAGCAATGCCCAGTGCTCACGTTACAGTCCTCAGGAGCCTTCCACAGAAGTCTCACTCCTCCTAGAAATGCTTCTTTACTCCTGCTTGTCCTTCCGGCCATTCTTCCAAGTCTCTTTGCTGTCTTTACTTCCTGGTACAGGCCTCTAAATGTTGGAAAATCTTAGGTCTTCTATTTTTACACTCAACTTCTCAGGTAATCTCACATGGCCATATAGCTTTAATTATCTTCTATACTCTGGTCAATTTATGTCCTTATATCCAGCTTTTTTCCTGAACTCCAAATTCTTGTATCCACCTGCTTGACTGACATCGTTACTTAGGTTTCCAGGAGGCATCTCAAAATTAATGTCTAAAACAGAATTCTTAATAACCTACTCCTCCAAACTTGCTTCCTTTGTCTCTTCCATCTTGGTAAATGCTACCATTTCCCTAACTGCTCAGTTCAAAAATCTAAGTATCTCCTTGATTCTTTTCCCCAAGCCCCATATCCAACCCATCTGCAAGCCCTAACATAAAAAAAAAAAAAAAAAAACCCAAACCCACTCCCATTACCTTTATGCCACCAGCCTATCCACGCTGCCATCATCTCTTGCCAATGTGACAGCCTTCTAACTGGTCTTCTTGCTTCCTTGTTTGCTTTCCTGTAGGTCATAGTCCTTAACAGTAACCTCAAGGAGCTTGTAAAATTTTAAATCAGATCATCACAGACTCAAAACTTTCCAGACACTTTTCATTACACTTAGAATAAAATCCACACTGAGCCGGGGATGGTAGCATGCACCTGTAGTCCCAATTACTCAGGTGGCTAAAGAGGGAGGATCCCTTGAGCCTAGGAGTTGGAGGCTGCAGGGCACCATGACTGCGCCATTGCACTCCAGCCTGGGAGACAGAGAAAGACACCACTAAAAAAAAAAAATCTGCACTCCCTACTATGGCTACAAAGGTTCTCCATGATCTGGCGCCTGCCTACCTCCCTAACCTCTCCCACTACTCTCTCGTTCACTTCTCCCGAGGCATGCTGGCCTTCTTGCTATTCCTTGAACTTGTAAAGCTTGCTCTTGCTTCAGGGTTTTTGCACTTCCCTTCTTCTGCCTGAAACACTCTTCTCCCAGATCCTCCCAGGGCTCACCCTTCACAGCCTTCTGGTCTCTATTAAATGTCACTCATTCAGAGAAATCTTCCCTGACCACTCTATCTAAAATGCCTAGCTGCCTCAACTACTTCTTACCACACAGGCTACTTAGTTTTTCTTCCTAGTACTTCTACTACCTGAAATTTATTACTACCTATCATTTACTTAAAAACAAACAACAACTGGCTGGGTGCCCATAGCTCAGTGGTTAAGGGGCCAGTCACATGCTCCCGGGGCTGGTGGGTTTGAACTTGGCCCAGGCCTGCTAAAAGAAAAAAAAAAAAAGCTAGGTGTTGTAGCAACACTGGTAGTCCCAGCTACTTGGGAGGCTGAGGCAAGAGAATCGCTTGAGCCCAAGAGTTTGAGGTTACTATGAGCTATGATGCTATAGTACTCTACAGAGGGCGACAAAGTGAAACTCTGTTTCAATAAAAAAAAAAAAATTATTTGGTAACCTGAATGAAATATACCAATTACTCACTACTGAGGGTGACAAAGTCGTTCCTTTAACAAATACTTGTTAATGCCTACAAACTCCTTTTTGTGCCTGTTCCTAAGGCGCCTTCCTCTGTTGCCTTAAACCTCCACAACACTCCCCAAACTGCTTCATATGTGCATATATTTCCTCCCCACAAATTTCCCCTTTCTTCAATTGATTATCTGAACTAAAATATTACACAGAAATTTGATGGAACTATTGTAATATACATCAATGAGTGAATAAATCATTCAACTCTCTTAAGGCATCTGTACATATAGTATTTAAAAGAGAATGCGTACTGAATTAATCACTCACTAACTGGCAGAATTTGGGGCATCAGTACAGTAAAGAGCAAAAAGTACAAAGTGGACACAAGATACTTGTGGTACTGGGAAAATAACTCCTAAATAATGTTTCACACACAGTAGGCATTACTAAGTATTTGTTCAAGGAACAATTAAGTGAAGGTAATCATGCCAAGCCAGCCTCTCCATCTTACCTTGGGCCAGCATCTGTAAATGGTTCTTTCCCCTCCCCCACCATGAGGCAAAAGTTGTTTCTCACAATGGCTTACTCAAGGGCATCAGAAGAGTACTACTCAAGGGTAGCACAAAAAAGGTGCTTCTTCAGCGTGGTGCCAATAGTTGAGGCTGAAAAGTTTCAGACAAACCATAAAGAACCCAGGAGCTGCACGTAGATGTGACATGCCCTTTATTCAACTCCAGCTCTTGGGGGCAGGTGACCTAGCGTAGAAAACCTCTTTTCCCCTCACAGGCAGAAAGCCTTGGGGCCTTAAATAGCCAACTATTTTAAATTGCACAAGGACTTTATGGACACCTGTATAGTAGCCAGAAGAAGAGTGGCTCCAAATTAAACACTAACGGGGGCTTAGAGCCTATAGCTCAGCAGCTAGGGCGCCAGCCCCATACACTGGAGCCAGCAGGTTGGAACCCAGCTTAGGCCTGCCAAATAACAACAACTACAACCAAAACACAGCCAGGCATTGTGGCAGGCACCTGTAGTCCCAGCTATTTGGGAGGCTGAGGCAAGAGAATCACTTAAGCCCACGGGTTTGAGTTGCTGTGAGCTGTCATGCTATGGCACTCTATTGAGGGTGACATAGTGAGACTCTGTCTCAAAAGAAACAAAACAAAACAAACACTAATGGGGTTTACTTAGGAACACAAGGCAACTGCCCACTTAATCATGGTTATTCAAAACAATAGGGGACCTCCTGGCCTTCAGGTTAGAAAGTCTAACTTAACTCATCTTCCCCACATTGAGGAAGTGTAGAACTTGTGAAAATTAAAATAAAGTCATTTGTGTTAGAACCCTGACAAATGGAGCCAGAGAAGGCCACGAAGTGAAGGTTCTCACGCATGAATGGCTGATAACAAGAACTTATCACAAAAGCCTGCAAAACCCACAACCTTTCACAAAGGCTATTGCAACTTTACACATAGACATACAAACACTTTTGTAAGGATGTCTAACAGCTGCATGTTCCCATCTTGAACTGACACCACTCTTGCTATTGACCTTTGTAGCTAGCAAGGATTCAGAATAATTTATTTAATCTTCCTTGTTTTGTCTTTAAAAGCTTGCTCTTCCTTCCACCTCCCTGAATATACAGTGTTCCTCTCTGTTATTCAGATTGACAGGTGAAAAGACAGAGAAAGAAAATACCACAATTTAATAGGTTATATTATATTTTAAAACAAGTTTTGGGGAGTTTTGTATATTTAAAAAACAAATTGGATTCCCCACTGACAGTATGTCAGATCCAATTTAAGATGGTAAGATAATGTTGTAATTTGGGGAAGAACTATTATTATTTAAAGTCTGTGAATTTAAAATTCTTTAAATTTATAAGCAGGGGTCCTCAAACTTTTTAAACCGGGGCCCAGTTCACTGTCCCCCAGACCGTTGGAGGGCTGGAATGCAGCCCGGATGAGTAGGCTACTAAGCAGGACAGGTAGTGGCAGCAAGAACATCGGGGGGCCCGCATAAATGTCCTAGGTGGGCTGTATGTGGCCCGCAGGCCATAGTTTGAGGATGCCTGACTTACAGCTTTGTATAATTACGCCAGCTGGGAGGAAAAAAAAAAGATGGCTTCTCAGATGGAACGACGAATGGAAGATGAAAGGCAGCATAGGTGCTCAGCTTCTACTTATCCCCAGAAGTCAGCTGGAGCCTTTTAAAACCATACCCCTTACCTCACAGATCTGTCTGATTAAATCTAGAGTGGGACACTGCTGTAGTTTAATAAGGGCCCCCGCAGGTGATTATGATAGCAGTGGGCCTGTAGACCGTACTAGAAGTTGAGAGATATGGGCCAGAAGGCAATGAGAGCTGACTTAAAGCTATGATAGCAGAACCAGAGGACATAGTCCAGCCATATCAACAAGATATTAACAGGGCTTAATGATTTATTTAATATAAAAGATGCGGAAGAATCTAAGAATAAAGGGCATTAAAAAGGGTACATTAAGAATTGAGAAGAATTTGGGAGGGTTGTTTATTTTTAAGACAGTATTTGAGAGGTAAGGGGGGCTCCTGTTACGATGATGACTTCAACTTTGGTTTAAGTGAGTTTGAGGTGCTTAGGGGACATTTGGAAGAGCTGTCCAGAAGGCATTCAGATTTAGCCTAAAGTTATGTCCAGGAAGTGGAGGCATAGGTTAGGGAATCTGGTATCTTAGTGGTTAAGAAAAGCATAGAAAATGATCTAAAAAAAGATTGTTTGGATTTTGCAAACTACAAATTCGCCAGGCTCCTTAGCGAGAACTGCACTGGCTGAATTTTGGGGACAGAAGAGAAATTGAAGTGGTCCAGCAAAGTCCCCCTTATCTAGTAAAACCCCCTAGTTTGAGTAAACATCTATCCCCGAGAAGCCGCATGGATATGCGCTTCCACCTACAGCTACGCAGTGCTGAGCTCTCCCCTTTTGAGGTTCTAACTCTTGAGTAAGGCATGGTGAGTGCAGCCTAAGAACTAAACGGTCCGAATCCCCCAGCCAGTTGAAGGGCAGGCGGCGAGGCCAAACAAGGTGAGTAGTCAGACCGGAACTCCTTATCCACGGAGCCCACGAAACGTTCCGCCCTCCCGGGCCCCTCATCGGGCTAATTGCACTCACTTCTCGGAGGGTCCGGCCCAGCATGGTCTTCATGCTCAGGCTGTCACCACCAGGGCCGGGAGACAAGGAGGTAACAAAAGGTCAACAGCCCCCGCTGAATGACATGGGCGCAGCCATGTTTGATCGTCACCGACCCCTCAGCATCGAGTACTTCGATTGGTTGAACTGAAGCCCAAGGAAATGATCTTTGCACGCGATTGGTTAGCGCCTTAAACCCATCCCGGCGGCGACGAGAGCGGGCGAGCAAGGAGTTTTGTCTGGAAGCGTCGGATTCTCTGTGGCTTTGGATCGCGAACGTTGTCTGTCTGCCCAGCGAAGGGCTCTCAGCACAGGGGTCTTGGGGGGCGGAGAAGAGTGCACACCTGCTTTTGTTTTTTTTTAAGGGAAAGGGAGTGTAAAAGAGGGAGGAGAATGGACAGAATCCGGACTTGAACGCTAATTGCAGCATTTCTGATGTGAAGAGCAGAATAACAATTTCATATTCTTTCTATAGTTGCTCCATTAGGTTAACTTCACTTCTTTATACCCAGTTTTGAATGCTTTTAATTTTGAAACTAGTCTGTGTGTTTGGCAGAATTTCACCGAATTCAGGGGTGAGAGTTTGATCCGGTCCCAGTGTATTTTAATTGTGGCATTCAGGTCAACCACTGTTTACGATGGAATTTGTGAAGACGTGTGTCCTTAGAAGAAATGCACGTACTGCGGTTTGCTTCTGGAGAAGCAACGTTGTACAAATGCCTTCAGTTAGAAAAATTAGTACTACCTGTCCTAGGAGCACTGTCATGCCTGCTTGGGTGATAGATAAATATGGGAAGAATGAAGTCCTGCGATTCACTCAGAACATGATGATACCTATCATACATTATCCAAATGAAGTCATTATCAAAGTCCACGCTGCGAGTGTAAATCCCATAGATGTTAATATGAGAAGTAAGTTTCCAAAAGACATTTATTTTTCCTTACCTTTGTCTTAAAAAGAATCAGTTTCTTCAGGTATTCAGTTTTAAAAAGTCAGTTATTGACTACCCTTATTTGGTTAACACGAAGGAATCCCTTAGGGTTTTTTTTAATAATACTTATGCAAATGTTAAATTTCCAAAAATTTTGAAATTGCAGTGGCCAGGATATACTTGAATCTTTTACAGAATGTGTCCATGCTTCCAAATATGCAGGCTGGGGCTTGAGAGTTTGTCTACAGTTTGCTTTCTGGTGTACTCACCTGTGGATTTTTGTGATATTCTGAAATCTATCACAGGTTTCTTCATTTTTTCAGAATTCGCATTTTTGTGATAATTCCTGTCCTCTTTGCTCTCCAGTTATTCAGAGCTTGCTTTATTGGTCCAGTAGACAAAGCAACCGAACAGGACTCCAGAATATGGATAGTACTTTCCTCATTTCTGCTATTGTATTCTCCCTTCAATATTTAAGATACACTTTCCTGTTATGCCCCATTCCTAAGGGGAATAATACTAACTTATGCTGGAGGATATTGGCAAAGCTTGGAGAGCACTGTATTCCTTACATATGTATTATTTATTATGGTGCTGAAAATACTAGTATTTGTGAATTGCTTTAACTTTGGAAAATAATGTGAAAAGTATTTTCAGTCTTGCTTACAGGAACTCAAGTATGTTGACTGAAGAAATAAAAAAGCATCTTTAGGATGATTAACCTCAGGGTTAACCACAGGTCAGTTAACCTCAGTGGTTTAAGCAAGCTGCCATATGCGTTTTAACCATGGGCCAGTGTTCTACAAGGTTTTGTGTAAAAGTACAATTATTTTTCACCC